GGGTAAACAAACGGTTGATCAACCGGAACGAATTGCGGACAATAAAGTACATATAGTGACACGGCGCGAAAAAAGTGCGTGGCATGCGAACGATGCAAAAAGTGGTTAGTTAAACAAACAAAAGGGGTTTGGGAGGAGGGGGGGAGCGGTGTAGCATGCTCTGACCAAGACTGAATAGGTAGATGACAAATACAAAGTAAAACAATGTGAACACAAACAGGAATCTTCACATGGACATTCTGCGGATTTAACAACAGGTGTCGAATAACAGTAGGTGGTGCATGAAAAGTTCATGAGAGTTGGTATCATTGTGTGTGTGTGTGTGCGACTGATTCACATTTGTATCCATTCATATGATTACATCTGTTTGCTCTCATCCCCTCCGGGAGAAAGACATGTTGTGCTTGGCGAGTGTTTCTTCAAAACAAAATTGGTAAGAACTGACGCGGAAAGCTTCGATTGTCATTCGGTACTGTTTCAACTTCAACTTGATTCATAACTCCATCAATTGTGTTCTATTTGGAGTGGTGCACTGGTCTTTACACACAATCTAATGATCTGGCTTGATCACAGTGCATTATTCGCCGGTTTGTTTCCTGGATAGACCAAAGTGCTCTCTAAGCGAAGTGCTAAGTTAGAGTGAAAGTTTTGCTGGTGTGGATATCTGGTTGTTTCTGCCTCTCGGACGTCGGTTGAGTGAGAATTGACCAACCTGATGGTAAGTGACCTTGATCGATCGGTCAAGGGGAATTCGAACAAGATCCATCGATAAACCGACCAGGCGTATAATTATATAAACACAGACATGGATAGGTTCAGTCTAGGATGCAATGTCATTCGCCAGATCGAAACATTGAATAATGTAATCGAATAAGCCATCGAACTCATGATCGTATACAAACCGGAGTTCTGCTCCACATTTGAATAACGAAAGATAGGTAGGTAACCGATAAATAATAACATACGAAGCGATTAGTAATGGATGGCCCCTGATTTATCGGAATTTTATGACCATCTAGAATGGTGTATAGGTCCTACACATGTGGAATACAGACAGAGCTAGTGACCAAGTTCAATTTGTATTCTTCTGAACACACAGACTTTCTTGGATGATCTTGAAAACGGATTTGAGACGTATTTGGATACGGAAGAAGATCAATACGCATATCCACATGAGGATCCGCTGGGCGAGAATGGGGATGTTTTACGGAAGCGGTATGAAAAACTGCAAACCGAGGCCAGAGTAAGTGCGATATTTCGAAATCACATACACATTTCAAAATCATATGCAAGACCAAGGATTGCGAAAAGTTTGATTTGAGTTACTGCAGTGCTCATTTTGATGAGATTGATGGGAAGGAAAACAGTGACAATGACGAATGAGGGTTTGTAAATGTAATTCAGCACAAGATCATTGCGAACTCTGGATTTGAACTGGATTTCACAAAAATGTTTTAAGCCTAAAAGAGTTGAGTTTTTCACACAATCTGTCACTAAAAATGCCACATTTCACTTTCAGCCATCACGTATACTACGGTAAACATATATCGAGTAGAAAAGGGAATATTCAGTGTTATACTTGATTCCCAAAGTAGATCGGTACAATTATTACCGTTCGGTTGTTGTGATCTGATTAGTGCGAAACATTAAATTACTGGATAATTCTATTTCAGACAGACAGACAGTACTCAATCATACTCTCTCTCTTTCTTACAATGCACCTACCTATTTTCATGGTTCTAGGCTGTTCTGTCTGAAGCCAGTGCTCAATTTCAGTGTCTGGAAGAGTTCCAGGCGGGACTGGTCGAAGCAAGTCAGTGGTTGGCACAAACGGAGAAAAACTACACACAGATGCAAAGCGTGAAAAACAAGCAACCGGGGCTGACCAGCGTGGGTCAGTCCTATCAACACGCACTGGATGAGCTGTGCGAGGAACTGAAGAGCGGGGCAGAATCCTATATAGGTCGATCCAAGGCCGCTATTGAACAGCTGATCGATACAACGCAACGTCATAACACAACAGCTGTAGTTATGGTCGCACGACGAGAGTTGTCTGAATTTCAGGCCAGTTTGGCCAAGCTCCAACGTCAGCTGGAGACAGAACAAAAAGAGGTGAGCTTTGTGATATGCAGGGATAGCGGTCACTTGTGGGATGTGATGCCCCCACAGTTCCATGGTGTGCCTATACGATCAGTTGCTTGTCAAACTCAAAAGCAGCTTTAACCGTGAGCTGTTGATTTATGGTATTTGAAGCCGTTTATGCTTTACTATCAACAATAGAATGCCATGAAAAAAATCTGTAAGAAAGATCAAATTCGTCATGGGAGAGCTGTGCTTCCAAAGTCCAAAATGTCGAAAGATTCAAACTTTAATTTCAAATAAACTGACGAACGAGGAGTTTTCTGATAGTTAGGAAACCTTCGGTTAATAAAACTCATGTACATTCCTACGTACAGTGGTATCATCTGCCCTCTAATTAGTGTTGCTATCGATCCAAGCATTTCTTAGCTCCGTGTTGGAATGCGTAGGGAACCGCGGTCACTGGTCAGTGGAGCTCCACCTCGACAACTAACTCACACTCACGTATTGGAAAGAACCTTGAAGGAATTGTACTTCAAAGCACGGCCCCGCAGATACGAACTAAACCATGACGATTCCCCAGAATAGCTGCGGTTGATGCGCGAGTAGCCAAAACGAGTGAATCACCAATATGCCAGGATTAAGTGCACCCGCTCATCACTGATTTCGCGTTATCTGTTTGTTCTTGTAGAAGGATATCACTTTGGTGTGCATGTATGAGAGATAATCCTCCTACTCCTTGTTCGCATTGAATGCTTGCGTCGAACGCCCACTGCTCTCCGGTCTCGTTCGAAGTGAGCCACGAGTTAGGCGTATTACGCAACGAGAGCAGATCAAACTGAACAGCGAGGTCTTCAGGTAAATGCAGAGTTCTGACCGCGAGTTAATTAAAATTGATTCGTGAAAATGAAGTCAAAATGAACCTATATTACTCCGGGGATATGTCCTTTGGTTTGGGAGTTTAGCATGTCTGAGATAGATAATAGTCAAACAAATGAATTCATGTTCAGTGGGTGCCGAATTTCCCTCCCAATCGTCTTAGTGAGCAGTTGTGCGTCGGGGACTTGAGAATACATTGTCTGATACGGTCCGATACAACAGCGGCGGATGAGTGCTATATGGTTTGTCATATTGACCTGTAGTGAGGTGTTGCCAGTCGACACGGATAGCCCACGTGGTGAGCTGGTCTGATTAACAATTCCTAGTCTCCGGGTTCGATTCCCGGATGATTTGGTGGAAATGCATATTGCCGTTGATGATTCCTATCAAACAGTTATACAGCGCATTCCAGTGGCAAGTGATGCATGGATTTTTCATGACGACTGTACCTGCATGAATAATTAAAGTGCTTTGAATCGATGATGAGCCAATAAAGTCCATCAGAGCGGTAAAGGTTAATTTATCCTACCGTTTTGATTACTATTTGGCTGATAGTATTCTCACATCTAAAGTGGCAGTTGTTTCTTAACCAGGTACTACAATATTGTGCCTACTGGTTCCAGAAATTGCATTTCATGGGATATTAGCACAAAGCGTAAGATATAAGTGTCCATTTCGAACACGTAAATAGTGCATTTATTTAAATCCAGACTTTTGATTGATTGTTGTCATCAAAGATCAAGCAATGCGTCTGTATGTCCTGCCTCCAAATCCCGCCAGCATCGTCCCTCAGATATCCTGTCGATGAATGTTTCAGGTGATTGAACCGTTTCAGCCACTAATTGGTTCTAATATTTTGAGTTTGAGGTTCGAAACATAACGCTGCCATGCAACTTTGGTACCAGACCGATTTCATTTTTTCTGGTCATCGAACTCTCAGGCTGTTTTGTTCATTATAAGACACTAACCTCCGGGTTATGACCCACTTGGAAATTTTTACTACCTGAGTGGAATGGGGGATCCGACTGAAGTTCATAGAGGGAATTCGTGGTGCATAAAAGAAAATGAGGCATGAACTGAAAAACTAGGAAGCATTTTACACCTGTTTCGACCTGATTGGGTCTCATCAGCCAGTATGAAGATGAGCTTGCAAAGATGGGTAAATGGAAGCCTTGTGTGGAACAATAAATATGATGAACGTTCCAAAATATGGTTCTTCCGTTCAACTAATAATTCGTTCAAATAATCACTGTGTTCGGATGTAGACAACTTCATATAGCGCTGAGAGTGTGGGAAGACAGTCTCTTTACTGAGTTCGTAGGAGTCTGCGCGTATGTACATATTTGCTAAAATACTCATCGATTTGTTGCCCGTTGAGAATCGTGCTTTTCTGTTTTGGCGAACCGGTTTATCAAGTGGTGTGCACTGGTACTTGAATGTAGCTCAACGAGACCGTGTTCGACGTAAGTTTACGCGCTCTTCCTCTGTAGCGACTCGTTCTTTGCTTTGCCATACGGAATGTGCTATTTCGGATTACTTTCGTTCAACCAGCTGGTGACGTGTGTGTGTGTGTGTGTGTGTGCATGCCTGGTCATTTTTCTAATCTCTCTT